TCTCTATTTCTTTCTATGGCTATACATACAGTATGTGAGCAAAATGGAATTAAACGAGAGTCCCAACTTAATGCTCTGTCTTTCAGTGTTTGTTCATGTCGGATATTATAAAACAGGCCGCAGAATTCGCTGTTAAATAATGTTAAATGATGAAACTGGTGTGAAATGCTTCAGTGGGTTCACTGGGACAAGCAGAGCGATTGCCCCTTGTGCTGACAAAGGTCCAAAATTAAGGTTTCAAAGGCAAAATATGTTTATCACTGCTGCAGTAGCCTGTGAAAGGTCAGCTATTAAAACATTTTAAACGCACTGCCGTGCTCTCTGTCTCTCTCTCTCTCTCTCTCTCTCTCTCTCTCCTGTAAATATCCTCACAATATTTGAATGAGGGAAGAAAAGAACATCTTGTAAAAGTCACCTCTGTCTGAATGACAAAATGCTTTCACTTTAATAACTTGATGAAGCCGGCTGTGTGGAGTATTCCATGTCTGAAAAGGGGCTTTTGGAAATACCATAACACTACACGCTCCTGTCTATTTTACAGTAGATTTTTTTCCATCTAAGTGCTTACACTTTTTTGTGTCTCTGTCTTTCAGTCAGGAGGCAAACACCAGTTTGGTGCGAGCCTGCTGGAATGAGCTGTTTACTCTGGGTCTTGCTCAGTGTGCTCATGTGATGAACCTGTCGACCATCCTCACTGCCATCATCAACCACCTCCAGAGCAGCATCCAGGATGGTATGGACCACAGACCTCGTCATCATTTCTCAGTGGGACACACAGACAAACAGGATTCAAGAAATGTGATTTTTTTTAGCTGTTCCAGAACAAACTAGGAGTAAAGCATAGAGGAACTAATGGGAAAGGGCTGTAGATAAGTTTTCTTCCATTGTTTCATTCATTTGTCAAGCACTTGTGGCATTGTAGGTGTTGTTTATACCATTCTATTGTTTCACATTCCAGTATTACACATATGAGCTCCAGATGAGGCTAGATGACTGTTTATTATTTGTTCATGAGTCATACATGATGGCTCAGATGCCAAAATTGAACTTGATGTAAACTACATGTTAAAAGAACTTGACAAAACCCGTCATTAACAAGCAGTGATTCAAAATTGCAAGTTTTGATGACAAGGACATGTTTTTGTCATGTCAGAAAAAGTAAATTATGAATCTTGAAATATCAAACTGGACATTTTCCTCTCTCCCAGACAAGCTTTCAGGGGACAGGGTGAAGCAGGTGATGGAGCATATTTGGAAGTTCCAGGAGTTCTGTAACAGCATGACCAGGTTGGACATTGACAGCTACGAATATGCCTACCTGAAGGCTATAGTGTTGTTCAGCCCAGGTGAGTCTGCTCTGAAGAGTGTCAGCTTTTCTTAAAGCAAGTTACTTTCATTAATTTTTATCAGTCAGATAAAAAGAGTTCCATGGACGAATGAAAGTGATTTTATTAAATTTTGTATTTGTATTTAACTTGTCAGATCATCCAAGTGTGGACAGCGGCGGGCAGATTGAGAAGTTCCAGGAGAAAGCCTTGATGGAACTGCAGGACTACGTGCAGAAAACCTACACTGATGACACTTACAGGTACATTCAAACATCCGGTCTATGGAGCATGTGTACCCCAGGGGGAACTTACCGAGGGTATATGGGAAGATTGTGGAGCAGCTCAACATGATGATTTGGTAAAAGAACAAAAACAAACATATCCCAATATTTGTGCAAAATGGTATAAGGCTGATTTTTTGTTTATTTGTTGTCACAATAACCAATAAAACTACCAGTTACAATAAGCTTGTCAATAAATAGTCACTGGTAAATGCGTGTCTGTCTGGCTAGCTGACATAAGTTTGGCTTATGAAGACTGTGGCACTGTGTACACACCCCGAGGAACTTATAAGAACATCTTATTTGCAGAAAAACAAGGTAAGCAGATATCAAGGACTGACTTTGCAGGAACTGCTGTGTGTCTGTTTCCCCAGGTTGACCCGTATCCTGACTCGTCTCCCGGCCTTGCGCCTCATGAACTCCAGCATTACAGAGGAGCTCTTCTTCACTGGCTTGATAGGTAACGTCTCTATTGACAGCATCATTCCCTACATCCTCAAGATGGAGACAGCTGAGTACAGCAGCCAGGACAGCCCATCACTTTAGCACCCAGAACGGTCGAATTAAAGATTAGCGAGTGTCCACTTCAGGAACTGTCTTTGTTTCGCAAGGGGTTTACTGTCAAAATCCTGCAGCGGCCCCTTGTTTTCTAATGATGCATGGTGCAGAGTCATTCAGGACTCCTTGCTAGAGTAAGATAAACTGGCACTTGAATGCCAGGATGACACTTGGAATGTTTTCTGGAGCTGATGCAGTGTGGTAATCTCGAGTTTCTGGCCTAAACTCAGTCGCTCTCAGTTGAACGAAAAAGGAATCCTCTGCAGCTGCAACTGTGCTCATCTCCTTTAATGTCTTTACAGCACTTCATGCGTGCTTTACCTTCTGGCCTAAGCCTTTTCAAATAGTTTTAGTCTTATCCAAGCCTTACCATGCTCTCATGTTGATCACATTCATTGTTTAGCACTAGCTGGTGTTGCCAGTATCAGATGAGCTATATTAAGAAGCCCAGTCCTTAATCTAACAAACAGGAAGTGGAATTTCCACCTTTTTAAAAAGTCTAACCCAGTCTTTAAGACTAAAGTGAATCTGAGTACTTAGTTTAAAAGTGTACTTTGAAGCTGTAAAATATTTGTTTATTTGGTATTTGGGAACATTGGCTCAGTTTAAACTGGTATTTTTATTGGCTGTGCTTTCACATTGAGAATTCAGGCTTTTACAAAGACCAAGTATGACTTTTCTGTTATACAACAAGGAATTGAAACATGCTTTGTAATAATTTTCTCTCTTTTCAATTTTAAAACTGACTGACTGAATTTCCTTAAAGGTGCAAGACATTAATGTACAGTTCTTTACTTTAAATAAATGTAAATATTAGTTGGAATGATAACTCCAATCAGGTACAAAAAATTAATTCATGCTTAATCTGTATTCACATTGCCTCGCTATCATAGTATTGAGCTACTACATTCTTAGCTCATTCCGACATGACCATTTTTTTAATATATTGAATGACATGTCCGAGATTTTAAGTTTGGGTATGTTTTTACATTTAGGTACACTTGTTTCTGGGTTATCATGAATGTGTTGCTAATAGAACCTGTGCAATCACCTCATCACTTTTCCCCTTTATGACAATCAATTATATGTTACTTCCTTTTGTCCCATCAGTGTCATGGAATGTCCCTCTCGATCTGCATTTTGTATGTGTATTTATCAATGGTAATTATTTCTTTTAAGGAATCAAATTCTCTTAAAGATTTTGCGTTCAGAAATGTTACGTAAATGTTACGTGTAGCTATGCTGCTGTTTTTGTACTTTTGTTTGCATTTGTACTCTGCTAAGTGCACATCAATCAGCGTTTGTGGCGTTCCACTGTCTTCATGCTGACTAAAACTTTGTGTTTTTTATGTTTTCTAAAAACTTTTAATTTGTTGTGAACAAATTTGCTTGTTGCATACTAAGTGTACTTAAAGTACTTTTGGGCAGGTTTCCCTGATTTCAACAAAAACTAGAGATTTTGTGGGTAGCCAGTCTCATGTGCATTGACGTCTTGAAGACGGTATGTGCTGCGGCTTATCCACCTGTATAAAGGTTTAGAATAAGCATCCACAGCAGTGTGAATGATAATGGGGACGTAAAGAAGTCAACACGGAATATGTCTTGTGAAATAAATGTCAATTGTAATATTCGGGTTTAAAACCTATACAGACTGTTTGTAAAGGCACTGTCGTGAAATGACCTTTGTACATGTAATTTCATAAAAATGAGTGCATGTTGTTTTTAAGGCGGGTTTTACAATCTTGTGGCTGTCCGCCCTAATAAGGAGCATTGATATAATTTTTATAGTGCATTGCAGTGCATGAACAAGTTGCTTAAAGTGCATTTTATGAAATGCTGTATGAAAAATGTTTAATTTAAATGTTGTGGCTTTAAAATATTTACCATGAGCAGCTCTCACATTAGAAGATATTAGATCAGAATTTTGTTTTTCAGCTTTGTGGATTGAGTATCCTATGGTTCAGATTTTTATACTGTGTAAATGTAGTTTGTTTTTCTGCTCATAAAAAATGTATTTCTTCAGACATTATCAAGAGATTCAAAACATTGAAACATTCATGTTTTGCTGGAGTCTGTCACAATCCTACATTTCTACCTCACACCGATAAAGATTTAAAACAAATGTATTAGCGACTGAGCTCCTGTATCAGCATTCCAGTCTCTGAGACTGGCTTCTCTGAAGCCAGGCGTTATAGCAGAAATAAACAATTACGAAATATGACATGGCTGGGAGTCTGTTCGTGCTGAAAATGAAAGGCTAAAGTGGCACAATGTGAGATTTGAAGGGGTTTCTTTTGCCCGAATCCCTTCTCACATTAAAGCTTTGGCAACATCACACCAGTTTTTCCTTATCAGTTAAGTGAAAGATGTATTTACATTATTGTTGGAAAAGACTTCATTAATAAGATTTGATGTCTCAGCAAAAAGCCATTTTCATGGGTGTGAACACTTATATCTGTACGCTTTTATACACTTTAAATACGTAATTAGTTATTATTATTATTATAATGTGGGATCGTGACGTTATGGCATTACAGTCAGTAATTACCCCCTTTCTAAACCATTAGAAGTAGAAGTCCTAAGTGGTATTTAATTTTTTACACTATAATTTTTCCATGAATTGTTCCATTTCCCATGTGTCTTTATCTTTCAGTGCTACGCTGGTAGACAGATAAATAGATGCATGCAGGAAACAACCAACTACGGTCGCTCCTCGGTTGACGACTTTCGACGTCATGAAAAGGCGCCTCTCCGTTAGCTGTGCGGTTCTGGGCAGGCGCAGCGGTGGGTTTTCAAACGGTGTTTTTTAAATGACAAAAAAGAGGACTTAAAAATGCCTATGAAAGGAAGGTTTCCCATCAGGAGGACTCTGGATTACCTCCAGAAGGGCGACATCATCTTTAAAAACAGAGTGAAGATCATGACGGTCAATTACAACACACATGGAGAGCTCAGCGACGGAGCAAGGTCAGAGCCGACAACAGCTACACGTTTACAGATTAAACACTGCTGCAGAAAATGTAATTTCTCTAAAGTATGTTAAGTATCACCACCAACACTTTTATTCCAGTTTTCTGTGCGTGTGTAATTCTGTCAATCTCAGTTTGACATAATATTTCATAGAATTCATGTACATAAGTCAGCTAAGTTATTCAATATGAAAAGTGGCATAGACTATTTTAATGATTATTTCCATTGTGTATAATTGTAAAGTAAAGTATTTTCTTGATTAACGGATTAATCGGCCATTAATTTAGGTCCACAAAATAGTGAAAACATGCCCGTGAGAATTTCCAACGTCTTCAAATTACTTGTTTAGCCTGAAAACTCTACCGATAGATATTCAGTTTCCTATTATAGAAGACAAAGGAAACCAACGTTTCAAATTAGAGAAGCTGAAACCAGAGATCTAATCAATGAGACATTAGAAAATAGATGCCAATTAATGTTCTGTTGATTGTCCACTAATCTTTATTTATTTATTTATTTGAAAGGGGACAGTGTACATTAATCAACATTAAAACAATGTAAATGTACCCTAGTTAGCTAAAAAGTGCTAATTTTCATCGGTAGTCCCCCGTATCGTTTCAGCTTTAATTTGTTTTGTTTATTTAACCCACAGATTATGTCTTCTTCCTATCTAGCCTTCTAGCTGTCTCTTCTAATTTCATGCACAGAAGTCACGGTTAGGTCTTTAAGTACCAGCACTTGTTTCTCCCAAATAAGCTCAATTCAACCTTCAACTGAAAAGACATGGCTGCGGTAGTGACATGTATAATTCTGTATTGAATTAGTGTTTCAAATGATAACAACTCACAGAATGTATGTATATAGTTAAATAATATAATAGTAAAAAAAAAATGCTCTTCATAAATTTTGTACTTTCTCTCTCTCTCTTTGTGTTTTGCAGGAAATTTGTGTTCTTCAATATTCCTCAGATTCAGTACAAAAACCCGTGGGTCCAAATAATGATGTTCAAAAATATGACACCAGCCCCGTTCTTAAAGTTCTACCTGGGTGTGTAGCCTGCACTGACGTTTAACCTGTATTATTAATATAATGATGATGATGATTATGTAGCTTGGGCTGATCTGTCTCTTTTGCAGACGACGGGGAGCAAGTTCTGGTGGATGTGGAAGGGAAGGACTACAAACAGATTTCACACCATGTGAAGAAGATTTTGGGCAAATCTGAGTAAGATATTCCGAGTTATTTTGAGTTCAGTGTGGACCATGTTTCATGACACCCACATGACAACATTTGTTTGTGATTAGGGCTGGTGATATATACTTTGGGCTATATATGTTGATACTGAAAATGTGACAGTGATTGGTGGTCATTGATTTTTTTTTTTTTCAAAGATTAAGAGTTATGTGGATATAATTGTCAAATTTCACATCAATTATCTAATAAACTGTATCCATCAATAGAATTTTAGCCTGTAAGACCAGGTAAAGATAACATGGGTGCTATTTCACAATCATCACAAATGTCTGCCTTAAAAAAGGCCCATTCCTGCAGTGATCTACAAATGCATTTATTGTACTCCCTCCCTGCTTACAGAGATGTGTTACAAGCAGAGGCTCAAGCCAAGATGCAGGCCTCCAACCCCGCAAACTTTGGACCAAAAAAGTACTGTCTGAGGGAGTGTATCTGTGAGGTGGATGGCCAGGTGCCGTGTCCTGGTACCACGCCGCTGCCCAAGGAGATGACGGGCAAATATCGCGCCCAGATGGCGTCGTCGCAGGAGTGAGAAGCTGAGAAGGAGAGATGACTGTTGTAGATTCACCGGATATTGTGGCATTGTGATGTTCGCTTTGGTCTTGTATGACAGAAAAGGACTACCACATTGCGTAATTTGATATAAATGTGTAACTATGGGTTCCCACTATGCTGTGTGCATTGTGAGATCACCACTGGCTGACCTGAGACCTTCCAATCCACCATAAGCAGCAGGAACCTACCCACCATACTTTGCTCCAGGTTTGGATAACTTGACCTGGTGTTTGTATATGATGTGACCTTGTTGAAGAATCCACACATCTGGATGCAATTTACACCTGGCACAATGTCAATACTATAGTGTAAACACTGAAATAAAAACTAATTTGCCTGTGTGGCTGTAGATCTAAAAGAAATCTAAATCGCAATGTCTTCATGCAAGAGGCAGGATCAGTTGAGACTGATTAGGCAGTGTCACCAGATTTAAGACAAGAACAAGAAATGCAAACATCTTACAGAGACAAAATTTTTTTTATTGGTGCCGAGATGGAAATAAACTGATGTCTGCGAGTCCTAAATCATTGTTTTAAATGCAGAGGTGTTACCCGAATGAGCAGGGAAAAAAACAACTGCTTACACACTTAAGAAGCTTCTCAAGGTATTCACACCGTCACAAAACATTTACAGTGTGACATGTTTGGCTTAAAATCTGTGGACATAAGCAGCGTGAGATCAACAGACTGCACAAAACACCATTTCTGTCTCTATAAAGACACATGGACATTCTGACTGACAGGAAAGCACGATGATGAATTCATGTAATGATTTAGCAGCGGCATGAGTGATAATACTTGATGGCATTCATGTAGTGTTAATTTATCTGACAAAAAAAAATGTCCTTAAAATGTTTTGACCAAAGAATTTAGTTGATGTTTCTATGTGCCTTCGCAAATTGGTTTTAGTGTGTTCATGGCGAGTGTTGGGTGTATTAACTTTGAATGGACTTCTTAGATGAAACCACTGAACGGATAACATGCTCTCAGTATAGATCCTGACCGAGCAGCAAGGAAAAGCAACATGTTGATTGATTTTATTAGTATGTCCGAACGCATACTGCACCGATAGAAAGACCAGCATCCAATGGCAACGCGGACATGAATCATGCAACCCAAGTGCTCAGTTGGATCAGTCGTTCCACTGTAAACATTAAGGTCATAACCTTCAGGGGCCGCACAGTTGGACGTGTAAAATGCTTTGTTCATTTGGCTCACTGTGGCATTAAAGATGCTTAAAAAAAAAAGAAAGATCTAAAATACAACCATGCCAAGACAAACATGACAGAATGCACAAAAAAATGGTTAGTGAAGCAAAACCGCAACAGTTAAGACTTTCATCTAAACCATGCAGACAAAGTGTCCTCTAGCAGGGACCATAGGTTAACATGTTCATTTGAAACATTTAAAGAAAAAAGCAACTTCCACTGAAACAGAAACAAGTGGTAAAAGGTGTTAAAACAAATACTTCTTCAATTAAAGATTAAGCGCAGTTTTCCTTTTTGACGTCATCATGGTCAGTACGAGTGACGGTTACGGAACAGGAGCAACGAGAATGTCTTTAATCTGTGTAATGTAATGTGCCTTTAACTTCCCTCCTTTAAGTCTATGACACAGAGTGCTCAAAGCCTCTGCTGATGACAAGTGGTGCAACTGTATTAGTAGTTTAAGCCTGTGATTACGTTTTAATATATAACACTTTAATGAACACTTTCCTTCAAATTCTATGCTGCCCAAATATGGTCATAAAAGTCTAATTCGATTTGTTTCCCATTAAATTATCAGATGGTTATTTTGAGTGTTGTTAATGGCCCAGTTAGAACAGTAATGCATGGTTTGGTTCTTTGATATAATTAATAAAGTAAAGTTGTAGGTACAAGAACAAGATTCCTTTAATATCAATGGAATTATAGGGGAACTCCGAATTTACACATCAAAGTCTGTTTACCGGTCTTGGTAAGTACTGCTGTATATGTGAAACAGTTAGTTTGTAGCCTCCAGGTGGAGCTGTGTGAAATGTGATGAATTTCCTCTAGTGATGTCACTTGAGTCGGCATCAGCTGGGGCTGAAGCCTACGTGTTTGAAAAAAGAAACTTATTCTGAAGGTGTGGAGTGAAGTGACGAAGTTGAGTGAAGCTTACCAGACCTCTGTAGCCCGCTTGAGGCTGCATTAGCCGCTATTAACGCAACACAAATCTCAGACCGTCAAGTTGCATTTTGGGGTTTTGACAAGGAAGAAGAATGCATCTATTTTGATCCTTGAATTAAAAACAAAGTCCATCATGAGATGTTTCGGACTGCTTAATTGGTGGAGTACTCTTTTAACTTAATTTGTAACGATTTGTTGATCCATTGATTTATGCGCTTCATAATGTGTTTATACTCTCATTTGTTCCCCCTTAGCCATAATTACATTTCAACTTTTCTCATGCCTTCTGCCAGAGAGCCTAATCATACATCCTGACACAAGACCACAGCTATACTCAATTCAAACAACCATCTGACTGTCCCATTAAAAATTTTGCATTCTCCCACTGTTTGTGTTTGCGCTGATACAACATGGCTTATATCTTATATTGTGCATGCTGGGATAGGCACCAGCCCCGTGTGACCCTGTACAGGATTAGTGGTTTAGAAAGATGTTTGGAAATGAACAAAGTCACTCCAGACAACTGAGCTTTACTATGTGTTTAGTTTTGGGACTAACCTAATCTTTTTGTGGTGCAGCAGACCTCACCCAAACTAGAATCAGTGGGCTCATTAGTCACGTAGAGTGAGCTAGCCTTGCAGGACTTGGTAAGTAGCAGGTAGTCAGAGGGATTTTGAGGGAAAGGTGTCAGTGCTTCTTACTCTTCTGTTCCTGTAAGGTGTGCTGTAGCTCTCTCAGGTTCTGTGACAGGAGCTCCACCTCGTCAAGACGGCCGCTGAGCTTTGCGTCAAAAATGTAGGCCCTAATGTTGTCAATCTGCTGCAGCAGAAGTTCCTCCTCTATCATGTCCACATCGGGCAAAACCCCGTCATCACTGTCCCCGTCAAAGGGGTTGGTCGAGACTCCTGGAGAATTCCCAGTAGCCTCCAGAAAAGGGTTACCTGTGTCAGTGTCAGCATCCTCCTCAAAGGGGTTGCCAGGTGCGGTCTGTTTGTCCTCCTGCTCATCATCATCTTCATCGAATGGGTTGTATTCTTTCTTCCCATTGGCTACTTCTTTGTGTTCCCTCTTGATGTCCTCGAAGAAGGGATTGGATGGATCCTCTTCAATTGGAGTAGAGTCCTCCTCATCGAAAGGGTTAAGGGGGGTGCTGTTCTGTCCTTCACCGCCAGGGGGGGTTACCTGCCCCCCTAAGCTCCTCAACCTGGGAGGTGACTCTTCCTGGCTTGTGAGAGCAGGGAACGCTCTTACAGAGGATGGACTCCTGTCAGCTTTAGGAGTCAGGTCTTCTGCTGCAGTTTCTTCCTCTCCTTGGAAGCCCCCTGCCGGACTGATATCCAAAGACCTATCCCAGGTGATGAGAGGCTGGGTGGAGCCCACAGTGGGGCCCCAGTTCTCCCTCTCCTCCCTTTCCCGTGTTTTCAGGCGGTGGAACTCCCCCTGCTGCAAGCTCTCCTCCTCTGCCAGCTTCTGGGAGAGTGCGATGGCCAGGCTGGTCTGCTGCTGGTCATATTCATCCTGCAGCTGACGCAAGTTCTCCTCCAACATGGCTACCTCGTCTGTCCTCTTGGCTTCTCGTGCCTGACGAAGGAATGACTGTATGTTCTCAATCTGCTGCAGGAGGGGGTCCTCCAGCTCGCTGCGTGCATGGACAGAGTCTGCAGAGGGCAACCAACCACCAGCTTTGGTCATGCGTGGAGCTCTAGGGGGCTGTGGCAGCTCTCCGTTGGTACTGGGAGGTGGACGGTTTTTCTCAGACTCCTGCCTCCTCTTCAGGGTCTCCTGGGCTGCCTGTTGAGAAGGGAAAATATATGAATAAACGTTGAATAACTTTTATTGTATGAAAATTCAACACAGAAGTACCAGTACACAATCTCACCAGTCTCTCTTGTTGGACTCGCTTCTCTTGTTCCTGTTTCCTCTTTTCTTTCAGCTCTTCATATTTCTCCTTAGTGGGTAAAGACATGAGACCTAACAGCTTCTCCTGAAACAAGGAGAATACAAAGAATGGGTGAATTCAGGGAGGGAAAGGATCAAAGGAGCATGACATACAGAAGTACTGTATAAATGTAACAGGGTGATGATTGTAGAAATACTGTACAGCCCATTCGGACATGATTTATTTCTCTGGGAGGTGGGGGGATTTTAATATTGCCTGTGCTGGTCGGTGATTTCACGTGTAGTACGTGTGAGATTTTTACCTCCCATCCCTGTATTAATTACAGCCCCAATTACTTACCAACCCTCTGCTCTTCCTGTAAGTTAAGTCTACTCAGGACAGAAACTATGCATTTTAAAAGTGTGCCTCTGAGGTTTTAAACATAGAGATGTGTTTACTGCTACTGACTTTCATCAGCTCAGCTCACAGCGTGACAACCAAAGTGGAAACATTTACGGAAAGAAAAAGTGAGACCTTTACGAGATAAGCTCATCAAATGAGCAGTGCCGCGTTAAAGGCAATTCTGTTTTGCTAGTCTACCTGTCTGTGTAGCTAAACAGATTTTATGTGTAGTGAGCAGCAGCATGTATATCAGATTGCTGCAGACAAAAGTCCCAGTCTTACTGTGAAAGCAGCACAGCCTAATCGACACTCAAAAAGAAACATAGTAGTGTGCAGCTGTCCGTGTTAATAATGAAGTTACAGCTAAATAATTCCTAATGTTATTATTATTAAAAAATAATACTAAGCCTGAAGAAGATCACAGTGTCCCACAGCATATCACTGTCTATGACAGAACCAGCTCCTGTATTTGGCCAGTGACTAAATTGCCGACTCGAATGATGACGTGTGGTATAAACGGGGATGGCAAATATGTTGTTGCCAACCTCCTCACGTAATATTTCCTCTGTCCGAATGGGGTCTGCTTTTTTGTTTGAACTTGGTCTCACCTGGACAAATAGCGTGGCTGTATAGCGGACCATCCTCTGCAGCTGGAGGGCCTTTGGATGCGGTGGTGGATCATCTTTTGCACTTAGTGTTAAAATCCTCTTACTGAGAAGAAAACACACAACTCTGTGTGATCTTTTTTTAAAAAGACAAACATGACAGAAGACTCATTTAGGACTGACATCTACCTCAGGGCATCGATTAGTTCGTAGTATTTCTGTACTTCCAGTCTCAGTCCACCAGCAGTGTCAAGATTGTATGTGGTTTCTCCTGCACTGTGAAAGTATAAAGCCATGGGGCTTAGCAACAGTCGCTTAAATCAAAGATCCAAAGATTATTCCTCATATCAGAAATGCTTATAAATCAACTTTTTATTACATTTATTTATTTTTTAAATGTGACTTACTTGAGAGACTCTGCCATTTTGATGTATTCTGGAGCCCTTTCATCCACCTTCTCCATGCACATCCTCAGCCTCTG